TCTCTCTCTCTCTCTCTCTCTCTCTCTCTCTCTCTCTCTCTCTCTCTCCTTTAATCTGTTGAAGCGCTGCTGAGCAAAGCTAGCGCGCAGCTGTTCCCGCAGCCCGCATCTCGGGTCCCTTCTAGTCTCCTCTCCACCTGCCCACTCCCACTCGCACCTTACGCAGGCAGAGCCTGATGTCTGCCCTCCAAACCCTGGGTATGAGTAAAGCGTGCCTCCACCCCTCCTGGATTTTTAGGACACTGCGCTGGTCGGTCATTGCAGGGCGCCTCCGCAGAGTCTGGAGCAGATACAAGAACATCCCTCCCACGGAGTGTGTGGTACCCAGAACCTCAGTGAACTCGGATTTGAGCCTGTCTTTTCTACTAGGGTTGATGGGGAAAGGTGTGTCCTCCAAGCGTTCAGACCAGAACCTTAGACTTTCTGGGTCTCTCTTTTCCCTCCTCTTTCCCTCCTCCTCTTTCTTTCTCAAGGTGTGGGAGCTCTTCTTTTTCAGACCAGAGAGGGGCGCCTTTCTAACTCCCTTTACCCTCACCCACAGATTAAAGAAAAAAAAAAAAAAAAAAGAAGGAGAAAAAAAAAAAAAAAAAAGCCCGGGAGTAATAGCGAGCGGCTGTGCTGGGTGCTGAATGAATGGAAGCCGCGGGGCGGGCCTGCGCGCACGATGCCGTCTCCCGGAGGCCTGTAAAGGCCCTCGCCAGCGGCGCGCCCTCCTCCCGCCCCGGGCTCCGGCTGCCGCCGCTACCGCGCCCCACGCGGAGGCCTCGGCTGCAACCGGGAAGGTCGGAGGGAGGGTGGTTTCCTCCCGCCCCACACCCAGTCTCCGAGCCGGATATACAGAGTGTCACGTTTGGGAGCCCAACGAGGAGAGCGCTCTCCCTGCGGCGGGAGTACCTGCCGGGGCCTCGGGGAAGGACTGGGATTTACAGGACCACTAGTTGAACCCCACCGCGTCGGAGGAGCAGGTACGCCGGGGTCGCAGCCCAGCGCTCGCCGAGCCCACGCCGCGGAGGCCACGCCGGGCTGGGGGCAGCCCGGGGGGCAGGCGCGGGCGCAGGGGTCGGGGGTGGGGGGTGGATCCCTAAGGGCCCCGAGGGAGGGTGGGCGTGCGGCCCGGAGGACGGAGGAAGAGGTTTGGGAGGCTCTGCCCCCTGGCAACCGCCACCCCCCGCCGTCAGCCGGCGCTTACTGCCCGCCGAGGTGGAGCGCGCAGAGGGTGGCAGCGGCGGCGGGCCACGCAGGGCCCGAGAGGGTTAACCTGGGAGCCGCGCCCGGCAGCCAGGATGGAGGGAGAGAGGCGCCTGGCCCGGTCTGGCGGCGGCCTCCTTGGCCCCTGGGGCTATTCCTGAAGAGAGCGCGGTGACTCCAGGCCACGTGTGGAACTGCTCCCTGCCCGCGGTCCTTCGGGCGCCGCAGACAGCCGGCGCGCTTCCCGACCCTGCAGCGCGTGCTCGCTCGCCCTGAGCCCCATCCCTGGCCGCGCGTCCGGACCCTCCCACTCCCACTCCCACTCCCACTCCCACTCCCCCTCCCACTCTCACTCCCACTCCCGCCTCGCCGAGGCCGGGAGCCCGAGGCCGAAGTGCTCAGGGGCGTCTAGGGTGGGGTCTGCCGCTGTTGGAAGTTTGCCTCCTCTTCCTGTGGCCTGCGCGTCTTGGAAAGAGCAGGGGAGCAGAGCAGGTACCAGGAGACTCCAACTGGAGTAGATGGCTTGCGGGAAGGCTGGAAAGGCTACTCACATCCCTGGCGAGGAAGAGAACCCCCGGGGCAGTTTCATTCAATTAAAAGGTTAACCAGCTTAGTCCTAGAAACTGTAGGAAAGCATTCCATCTACCAGCTTCCTACTCTTTCACCTTTTGGGTTGGGTAGGATTATGAACAGTTACTCTTTGATGGATGAGATACCTCATGTGAGCTACCAGGTCCTCCAAGGATATGCGAGGGCTTTAGCGGCTGGTTGAATCATGTGGCGTGCCCCATTGTACCGTGAGCAAAAGCAGAGTGGGGACAGCTGACTGACCAGGAAACTTAAGTTACTCGTACTTTTCTTCTTGTGGATGCTGCATCAAGAGAAGTTTGACACTGTGGGAAAAGAAATTTGAGAATTACCCTGTGGTTTCAATTATTCATCTCTCTACCTCCATTTGTATGATTTGGCTAAGGAGCACGTTTAGTCTGAAACGGCACAGGGACTAAATAAAATTTTAAGTCAGCCACTCGAATTGCAAGAGCAGGTTTTTCAGCAAAACCCACATTTAGGGATCTTTGTGCATGAGACTTCCGGTAGATGGCCATGGGGTTTTGCCAGCCAGACTCAGGTGTTGAAATATTTCATCTGTAGTGTTTTTGCAGGACGCTGGTCTTTATAGGACTCTTTTTTCTGTTTCTGAGGGCATTTCCTGCACCTGCCTTATTAACAAATTCCTACCTTACCCCAGTTTCTAACATTGGGTTGTAATTATCCATAAAATATAGGTAATATAAATCACCATAAGTTGGTAAATCTTACCATGAAACATTTCTCCTTTATTTAAAGGAGGGACATGACATCTAATTACAGAAGAGGGAGAAGCTTTCTTTAAACGGGTGAAAAAATCAATGAAATAGCTCAGGTTTGGGTATCGTGTTGGGGTTTATGAAGAATATGGTTGTCTTGAACATCTCACCATTTGCTTTCCTGTCATCTGAAGATGTATTTTGAGTGTATGTCTGGCAACATCTGGGCAGCCTTAAGAATTCTTTGTTTTTCTCTTAACTCCAGTGCAGCCATGAAAACTCACTCATTCACAAGCACAGTCTCCAGAAGGATCATGAACAGTGACCAGGAGCATGGTGTTCCCTGACACCCTGGGCTCTGTGAGAACATTTTTTTTTTTTTTTTACTCCTGAAGAGGCATTCTTAATGCTTTTGTTAACAGAGCACTTTGAGAACCTGATAAAAAGCTATGGGGTATGAAGCACAAACATATGCACATTAACACGGAATTCTGCCTGTGGTTTCAGGAGCTCACAGCCTCCTTGATACCCAACCAGATGTTAGCCGTTCACAGACTTTGGGCAGGGCCAGCTTCATGGAAACAAACCGCTCAGTCACACGGGCTCTGAACTCAGAAGGGCCCCGCACTAGTTTTAAAGTTCTGCTGTCACTGTCAGCTCTCTTAATAATTTTCAAACAAGGAGCTCCAAATTTTCATTTTATACTATATATCCTGCAAATTCTGTGGCCAGCCCTGATCCCAGCATAACAATCCTGTTCTAGAATTTACTGCATAAGTTATGTCATAGTAATCCTACATTTCAGGTGAATTCTCCAACACAAACTTGGACTTTAGCTGCTACGTACCTGTATCGTTCAGCCCCTCTTCCTCATGCGCAGTTTCCTTACTGATTGAATAAAGATAGCAGGCAATATCTGCTACTCTTCCTCCTAAAAAGTAGTTCTGAAGATACACTAGGTAAAAAGGTAATAATTGTAAAAGCATCTGCTTCCCTTGAACAATTTTATACTAACAAAGGCTTGACTTCTACTCCTTGTTTCAGAAGTAGCTTGAGGAAAGTTGGTTAAGTACATTAAAAACGTTGCAGAACTTTTATAATAACCCTTATATTTTAGTGGGGAAAAATAAAAAGTAGCTAAGGTATTCAGTATTTTACATGTTCCTTAAAAACCATTATTTGGACAAGATTGGAATTGACAAGTAAAAGTGCAGAATAACTTCTTGGATTCCAAAGATACTTCCTGAATTAAATACGATGTTTGAGTCTAATCCATCCAAAAATTGGACAATGTGTAACTGAGTCAATGATTGACACTTAAGTTCTAAAAATCCACATTTTCAAATCTCGAGCAAGTCATTTTTAGAACACTCTAGGACATAGCCTAGCAGTGTAAAGTACACCCAGTCCTTCACCTCCTTTAACACTAGGGAAGAAACTGAGAAACTTTCGGCAAGTTCTCTGTCCCCACTCTCCTCCCTTAACTACTTCTCTCATCTCAGATCTTCTCTTTACCCCAGCTTTCATTCCCAGTATGATGACAACACACACCAAAGTGTTGAGGAAGAAAACAGTGAAAGGAAATGAGTCAAATCCTCATATCAAAGTCTTAAAATGGGGGCACTAAATGGGGTGGTTGGAGACTCCTTTCATACAACTACTCTGTGCAGAGACATGCTGTGTACTTTAGCTTATGAAGTACTAGGTCCTATACTCGATAGACACGACATCATTGGCAAGACAAAATATGTCAATATAAGGTGTTAATTAACAGTAGTAGATGAGTTGTTACAAGGCAATAGAAGAGTAGACACCAAATGAATGGTGCAGATAGTAAGTGCAGTGAGTTCCCAAGAATAAAATGCATTAGTGAAGCTTAAGAGGAAGGTTACATGAGATGTTCCTTAAAGCTCTGCTCCAAACGGAGGTGAACGAAGGAGTCTTCTGGCTGATTGGTGTGCACAAAATGAAAATCTGGATGGAGCTAAAGTTTTATGTAAGGAAAAGGCAGGAGATAAAACTGTAAGGGAACTTTCCAGTGGTTGGCTTCATTCATGTAATAAATAATTAAGCCTCCTCTGTGACCAGACACAGGGTCAATTTTTCTGTATTTAGTGTTGAATAAAGCAGACATCTTGTAGAACTTACAGACATTTAACAAAGGAACATAATAACAAATTGTTGGAAGTAGTATGAAGAAGAACAGGGTTCTATTAAAAAAAAAAAACAACAACAGGCTGGCTCAGACGGTGTTCTGGGAAGACAACGAAAGACTTAAATTGATACTTGAAAGAAGCATAGGGATTGGCTTGGGAATAAAGTAAAGGAAGGAAAAGCAATCTGGGCAGAGGAAGTAGCAATGGGAAGGCTGCAAGGAAAAGGCTGGAAGTATTCAGGGAACAGAAAGGAAGCATGGCTGGAGTTTCGGGAGAAATTGCTGTGAAGCTGGACAGGAGTATAGTGAGGTAGGCAAGAGCTTGATCATGGAAAACCTCACAGATCTTGACATTGATTTTGAATTTTATGTTGGTGGGAAGCCATGAAGACTTTGAAGTCAGAGACTATGTAATTTACATTTTAAGAGATCTTTATGGGTACAATATGGACAAAGGACAAGAAAGAAAAAGAATTGGAAGAAGGAAGACCAGTTAGGGCAGAGTGCCATAAACAGCACTGACGGAGAAGGTAGAGAGAAGTGGGCAGACTTGAGATCTATTCTGAAGGTAGAATTGATACAGCTTGCTGATAGATTGGATATGAGAGGTGCGTGAGGCAGAAAGAAGTGGGAGAATGAATTATTTCAGTAGATACTGCTGGATGTTTGTAATCCAAACCAGTAGACTCATGTACATATGACTTAGAGTTGCTAGAAGAACTGAAAAATGAAGTGAAAGCTGGTAACCTTGCTTAGTATCTCTGGGAAATATACCAGCTACTGGGGTAGAAGTGAGAGAGAGGAGGGAGATACTTTTGCTTTTTATACTATCATTTCTACTGTAGGGATTATTTTTAAGCCATCACATATTTTATCATTTCTTAAAAAGTTACTGCAGCAACAAATATGGCTCCTGCTTTGCTGGTTTGAGCACATGAATGGAACACGGGGCCATTTCCTACCATGACAAAAATAAGGAGAGAAAAGTCTAATCCTTACCAAAGTGATTGGTTCTAAAACATAATTCATAATTCTGAAAACCTTTTCATTCTTCCCCCTTGTTTATATTGGTGTTTCCCAAAATGTAGTCTGTGGATCATTAGTGTTTTGGGATATTAATAACAGTTAAGTGAAGAAAAAAAAAAAAAGCTTTCCTGATCATTTAAATTTGAGAAACACTTGATTTAACCTGGGTAACTTGTCTTATTGCAGGAATCCTCAGAGCCTTTAATTTACTAATTAGCGCATTAAGAATCAAGAAAGAAGGGATATTTTATGTCACATTTCCTAAACTTATTTGACCTCAAAATGCTTT